CTCTGGATAGGTTATGTGAAAGAGCTCACCCAGGCTGCGTGGTTTGGCTGCATTTATTGGCACCAGTGGGGCGTGGCTGCTCTTGTGGACAGCCCCGCCCTGGCCTGGCGCTGAGAGGGTCCTGGGGGAGCCAGGTGCAAGGTGGGGACTGAGAGAAACGCTGGACACCAGCGCAGCTCTCAGGGCTGGCCGGCGCCCAGCGCCGTCACCGACGTCAGGCCCCTTCTTCCTCCCCCCCCCAGGACTGGGAGGGGGCAGCGGCCTGCACCCCGGGCCCCTGGGTGTGCTTGGGAGGAGGCCGGGGCAGGGCCCTGCCGGGACGCCGCGCTCCAGGCTGGAGGGTCCAGTACTGGCCGTGCAGGCTGGCCTGGGCCTCCAGGAAGCCCTGGCTGAACTCCAGCTCGGCCTGGCTGCCCTCCGACTCCCAGTACAGCGCCTGTGGCCCGTGGAAAGTCCTGGTCCTCAGGCTGTGGGTGTCCCGGACCTGGGGGACAGGCAGCCCCAGGCTGATGAGCCAGTGCTTGGAGCCCGGCATGCACACGGCAGCACAACCCAGGGCCGGCTTGTCCTCACCCCCAGCCCTGATGGGAGCACCGTCACCCCACCCAGGAACCAGCACTCAGAGACGCTGGCCTCTCCCCACGGACACAGAGGGGCCAGGCTGCCTGCTGGCCTCTCACAGGACAGGGCCGCTGGGTCGGGCATCCTGGGCTCCCTGGCGCCCTCGTGCAGACACCTGCCGGTCGCTAACGGGGGAGATGCTCCCTGCTCCTTCACGGACAGACTCTGGCCAGTCCCCGCCCCGGAGACAGGTGACCAGAGTCAGGAGTGGGCGCACTCCGGCCCACCCTGGGGCCTACCGAGATGTAGCTGGTGCTGGAGCCCTCGGCGCCGGGGCCCGGCCCGCTGACCAGGGCGTGGATGGCGAGGCGGGCCTGCGGGGCCACGCTGATGAAGACGCGGCAGCCCCCCGCGTTCCTCCCACCTGGACTTATGGAGGGGCTCACGATTTCACCCCGGGGTCCGAAGAGCTGCAGGTCACATTCTGCAGGGGCGAGCAGGTGGAGGGCTTGGGGGGCGGCCACCTCGCACGGAGAGCCCCCGGAAGTCTGAGGAAGCCAGCGGCCGGGAGTGGGGAGGCGGTACGTGCCGTGGTCAAGAAGGGGGCTCCCGGGCCAAAGCCGCGACTGAACCCCACCCCACCGAGTGGCACGGGAAGGCTGTGCGTCCTCCGAGCCCTGGCTCCCACGCCGTCTGCCGGGCAAGGCCCGGTCAGGAAGGCTGGACGAGGTCACGAGCGCAGGGGTCCCGCGTGCCACGCCCGGCCCAATGTCCACTGGAGTAGGAGGCCGACTGCCGCCCCCTGCGGGCGGGCCCTGCGGTGCCCGCAGCCAGAAGCAGCACCGGCCGGCAGAGGCCCCTGTCCCTCACCAGGGAGCCCAACACCCGCACAGCTGGACGCTGGGGGCCAGCGGTGCCATCAAGTCTCTACAAAGACCTCAGTTTCAGGGGCAGTCGGGGCGGGGGTAGAACCCCCTGGCCTAGAGGAATAGATGAGGAGCCGCCCCCGCGGGGGGGCCACAGGATGCAGGCAGGGGGACGGTCAGAGGCCCCGGATGGACACCAGCTTGGCCTGAGGCGTGTGAACACGGGCGTGTGCAAGCAGCCCCAGTTCTGAGGCCCACGAGCCAGGGTCGAGGGGCGCCAGGGCAGGACTGGGGGGTGCGGCTCCCCGAAGGGCCCGAAAGTGACAGACAGGACGGTGGCGGTGGGGCCAGCAGGTGGGGCCTAAGGACAGGCTGCGGTGTGGCCAGAGCCCCCACTATCTGGCTGCAAGGCCCGAGCACCCCGTGTTCTGGTGGTGGGTGTGGGGGGCCAGCGCAGGGCATCTGGCAGGTGCTGCTGCTTCCCTCTGCCCGCCTGCTGCCCGGTCCGCAGCAGCACCCTCCTGACCACCCCAGGGGAGGGGAGGCCGCGCACCTCTGTGGAAGGCCCGCGGGGCCGGCCGGCTCCCGAAGCGCAGCAGCACGCCCCCTTGTGGCCGCACGCGGCGCTGCCTCACCAGCAGCGTGTTGGCTCTGGAGCTGAAGGTGGCCCCCGCCAGCCTCCTGCACGTCTTCCTCCACGTGAGCCTCCCCCACAGCAGCAGCATCTCCCCTAGGAGGGGCGGCGCATGACAGCCCGCTCCAGGCCAGCCACCCCCTCACCGGCCATGCGCCGCTAGCTGACTGGACATGTCACTTCATCTCCCTGGGCTCAGTTCCCCACCTGTGAGATGGGGAGTCACTCCCCACAGTGGAGGGGCCCCGCTGGCTACTGGCTCCAGGCAGGAGCGCACGGCAGGGGCGGCCCTGGACTCACCAGCGCTGCAGTTGAGGGAACCCTCGAGGACCTGGAGGGTCACCACCTCGCCCAGGGGCCGCCCGATGGCCACGGTGCAGTCAGTGAACACCGGGTCTCGCATGTCAATGGTTCCCTCTGACTCCAGGCGCAGCCCCCCACAGGCGCCTGGAGAGCGAGCCGGGCACAGGTGAGCGCGGCTGCAGGTGGGTCGGGCGGCAGGGAGGGGCCGGGCGACGGCAGAGGCTGGCATCCGGCTGGACGCCTTCCCAGTCGGGAGGGGCCCGCCCTGGTGAGCCATGACCCTCCCGGGCACAGAGCGCCTCCGGAAGGCGCCCGCCCTCAGCACACAGCCCCGGGCCCCACTCAGCTGCAATGGCTTCAGGGGGAGCAGAGTGAAAGGTGGCCTAGGACCACCCCGGAGACCCCCAAGGACCTCACTCTCCCAGTAAGGTGCCTCGGCCTAGCCTCCTGCAGCCAGCACCAGGACAGAAAGGAAGGAGGAACGTAACTGGACTCGCTGGAGCTCTCCTGGGGCCCCCAAAGCCGAGGGGCTGGGCGCGGGGGCCACTCCGGAGGAGGCCCAGGGGTGGCAGCCGTGGTCCCGCCTGGAGCAGCAGCTCCCTCCCAGGGCTCCGGGCTGGCCGTGGCTCGCCCCGGGCAGGGCCCGGCCCAGCAGCCCCGCACCGTCATGGGCTTGGGCAGGTGCTGGCAGAAGTCGGCTGGTACGGGCGCCCGGGCCTGGGGTCCGAGGCAGGCGTCATGCCGGAGCTGGATGCCCTCCCCGCAGGAGACAGAGCACTGTGGGAGGAGGGGAGCGTCGGGGCCGCCCGGCCTGGCGTGGGCGCCCGCCCCACCTACAGGTGCGCACACGGGCCCAGGTCGCCTGGGTGGGCGGAGCCAGACCCAGCCGGCGAAAGTCCCCCTCCAGGCCTCTCTGCCCCTCCGCGCCCTCGCGCAGGCGGCCAGGCGGTGGCTGCAGCAGGGCACCCGGCTCTCCTCTGGCCTGACCCAGACGCCGGGGCCTCTGACCGAGGAGGTGGACGGTCGCCGACCCCCTCCCTGCCACCCCAGCGGCAGCTCCTCCCGAGAGGGACAGGCCGACTTAGCGGTTTCTCAGGTGCCCTGGGAGGGAGCGCAGAGGGCGCGGCTGCCAGCGTGCCGAGTGACCTGCCCCTCCTCCTCCAGACGGCCAGGCCTCCGGGCCTCGTAGGGCCGCCATGCCCGCCCCTCCTCTCCAGGGTGACCGTGAGGCCCAGCGCGCCCCGCCCTCGCCGCCGTGCCCACCTGCGTCCAGGCGCTGACATGCCACCGGTGGGTGCAGTCGGCCACGCTGCAGGGGACGCTGGCCTGCGGCCGCACCTGCCCTGCACAGGCCGCCCCATCCACCTCCACGTCCCAGCCTTGGTCCAGCCGCACACAGGCCACCGAGCGCACGGCGGTGCCGAGGCCGCAGCTGGCCGAGCAGGGGCCGAGGGCCACGACCTTCCACCTGCAGGAGGCCCGAGAGGGAGGCGGGCCAGAGCCGCTTCACCCGGCCGCTCCCCGCCGGGCGTCAGCCAGGCACGGCCAGCCGCACCCCTGCCCGGCAGGCCCCGGCGCAGCGGCTCGGGGAAGAGGCCGCCTGTCCTGGTGGGGCTCCCCGGCCCTCGGTGACGAACCCCGGGCCACCCCCGGAGGTGCGGGCCCGGCCAGACCAGGGATGGCGGCTGGCGCCCGGCCGGTCCAGGGGAGCAGACCTGGCCGCACGGTGTTCCCCGGCTAGCGGCCACCGCCGACGCGGTCTGCAGCGGGCCTGAACCCAGGCAGCCTGCACTGGGACGGCCGAACCCCAGCACCCTCCGCCCCCCTGCCGGGCCGTCCGACGGGCGCCTCCCACGCTGCTCCCGGCGCCTGCAGGCAGTGAGCGGCAGCGCCCGCTCGGAGCAGACGCCGCCTCCGGGCCTGGCGGCTTGGTCGGGGTTCCTGCGCACTGCATGGGTGCTGTGCCCCCCGGGGCCCCGCCCAGACGCGGCCTCCACTGCCGTGAGGTCTCGGCCCGCCCACGCCCCATCAGAGCCGACAGCGTCGCCCGCACTTCACTGCAGCTGCTTCCGCCCGCGGCCACCCCTCCCAGGCCTCTGAGCGGCCGTGTCCCGGGACTGACTGACCTGGCCGGGCAGGGGTCCGGGCTGCAGGCCTCCTGCTGCTCCGGGCGGGGCAGCCCCTGGCACTGGGAGTCCGGGAGGATCTCCTGGCCCCTGTCCTCGCCTCGGGCCCGGGCACAGTACAGGACCCTCCTGGCCACCCCGCCCCCACAGCTCACGCTGCAGGCGGCCAGCTTGTACCTCCACCTGGGGCACGCGAGAGTCAGGGCCGGAGGAGCCGGGGGTCCCCGCCCTCAGGGAGGCCCCACGCCCGTCCCAGCGGGGCTCCGCAGGGGACGCAGAAGCTGAGCGTGGTGTGCAGGCAGCGGGTGAGGGCGGCAGGT